GCAGTGGTGAGTGAGGAACTGTCCATGGAGGTACAGTACTGTAGACTCTTGCTCCGTAGTGTCAACTAACCTCTTGTTTACCTCACTCGTCTTCTAGCCTACTCACACCGACTGACACAATGGGTGACGCTAACAATACTCATAGCATTGCGGACTACCTAGCCCAACTCTTAAAGGATAAGAAACAGCTCGCAGCCTTCCCCAGTGTTTTCATACACGTCGAAAGACTTCTCGATGAAGGTAAGATTAACTTTCTAACGTTTTTACTCGATGTAACAGCTTTGCGGTAGGGACTTTGCATGCCTATACTGTAAATAGTACAACATAAGACAGTGTATTCTCAGTGTAAGATGTTGTTATAAGTGGTTGTATCCCGGGTCACGTTGCACAAGTTAGTTGAGGGGGAAGTCAGCTGACGGGCAGCGCGGCCCACTCAAACCTCCAGCCTCGCTCGCTGAAAATAGTGCAGCGTGTGGCATGGTACCCACTTGGAGGCGCCGTTGTTCTCAGAGAGCACGGCTGTGCCTCTTACAATTTGCCTAGATTTATTGAATGAAGTATGGCGGATGCGTGCGGGTGAGGGAGATGTAGGCCCTGCGGGTTCGAGTTATAAATGTTTTCCTAGTCTCATGCCCAAGTCCCGAATGCCAATCCGAGGCTCTACCCTTGTGCTAGACGTATGGCGAGGAGCAGAGGGGTGTAAGTGCGGTGGCATGATATTTGGAGGCCAGACGAGGTACAGGTGCATCAGGGCACAAGAGCGTCGCCTCACCCTCCAGCATAATTCCATCCACCAGCACTCCTCCCACCGCTTCTCGCCACGCGTTTCCCTCCTTCAGAATCACGCTGGTGCATTTCCACAGCGAGCTTTGCCTAGACGAACCTCAGGCCTTATTCTAACGACGAAAGAACGGGGTTGGAATGCCGACTGAACGTTTAAAAGCTAACCCGTTCACAGTATCGGGGTGGGGCGAGTAACTGTTGGGGGCTGAGTATTTCCTTTGTAGCAGTGACCGGCCCTCAGCCTCATAGCATCGGGCAACCACACCGTCTTCGCACGTCTCTTGAGCTCAAATTATCGTTCACGAGTCGGGTTTGCGTTCGTCTTAGGACAGACCTCGTTTTTAGTGGCCTATGTGAGAATCAGCTGTTGACGCGCGGGGTTTGGGGGCAAGTCTATAGGCCAACGTTCTCGGAATCCGTAACTGTCTCGGTCTCTGAACCTCGGGATCTCGCCTTCCATAACGAGGTCAGTGGGCTAAGAATTCTAGTGTTGATAAGCTGATACCACGTTGGATTCAGTCAGTTTGGATTCAATCGCGATATTTTGTTTATTTCGCAAGAGTCCACTGTTGTGGGGGAAAAAATAAGCTAGTCATTGTCGAGCTTTAGCTGTTGTTTTCATTGATTTGCAGACTTTACTGTTAATTTCATTTTAGTGTTTTTCCATGCAAGTTTATTCCCGCAATTCTAAATGATATAGTGAATTTACAGCACCAAATCTTTATTCAGATGATAACTAAGTATAATCATTTTGTTTGTCGAAAGCGGTTGATTTTTCTCTGCAATAACAAGCTGCAAAACAAACGTCTGGTGCTTGCATCGTCTCATTAAGCTGCCTTCAAAACAAAGCCCAAAATGATACTTTAATCTCCAGAGAAAATCGTCTTAAATTTGCATTTCCTATGAGTTTGTAAGTTCATTTGATATTTAGGCACCCCCGAATAGTTGCCTTAATTAGCACTTTGTGGTCATCCGGACATGGCACCGAAGGGGTCGGTTAGTAACCGAAATTATCGCTTTGGTGTGAGCGGAAGGAACACGTCTGCTCGTGGGTGACACATCCCAAAACGTCACTGGGTTTGCGGTCACCCTGTCATGTGAGGTCATGAGGGGATTCGGAATATTAGTGCCATTAGGAGAAGTATCTTGCATGGTCGGGATGAAGTGTGCTTGTCGAAACGTTATCTTGAAGGAATATGATTTTTTGATAACGTTAGGATGAAGGAATGTTTTATTGATAACGTTAGGATGAAGGAATATATTTTATTGATAACGTTAGGATGAAGGAATGTTTTAATGATAACGTTAGAATGAAGGAATATATTTTATTGATAAGTTAGGATGAAGGAATGTTTTATTGATAATGTTAGAATGATGGAATATATTTTGTTGATAACGTTAGGATGAAGGAATATGATTTATTGAGGATTTTTAAAACTAACCTTTATAATTTATTTATACATTTATAAAGAAAGGATCTCCGCGTTTCCTATTTTCCAATGGCGATTCGGACAGCAATTTTAACCGTGCACGAAATACTTCAGCTAAGACCTAGTTGGTTATGTCATGGCATCCCCGCAGACACTCGCAGCTCGGTGGCCCGGTTCTTGTGTACGTCATGGCACTTGAGGCGTCAGAGATGAGTGTGTTAGATTCCTTTGTATAAGTGGATGATCTGCCTGCGTTTATAACCCACTGTGAACGCCAAAGAACAAGTATCTAAAATTGTTTGCGATCGCTAGAGGATCTATCTCGGACAAGGCTGGGGTTTTTCTTTCGCTAGCTCTTTCATTCTCTCTCACTCTTTCTCTCTTTCTCTTTCTCTTTTCTCTTTCTCTTTCTCTTCTCTTCTTTTCTCTTTTCTCTTCTCCTCTTTCTCTCTTTCTCTTCTCTCTTTCTCTTTCTCTCTCTCCTCTCTCTCTCTCTCCTCTCTCTCTTCTCTCTCTCTCTCTCTCTTCTCTCTTCTCTCTCTCTCTCCTCTCCTCTCTCTCTCTCTCTCCTCTCTCCCTCTCTCACATCTCTCTCTCTCTCTCACACATTCTCTCTCTCTCTCTCTCTCACTCTCTCTCTCTCTCTCTCTCTACTCTCTCACATCTTCTCTCTCTCTCTCTCTCTCTCTCTCTCTCACAGACTCTCTCTCAATCTCTCTTCTCTCTCTTCTCTCTCCACTCTTCTCTCTTCTCTCTCTCATAACAACACAAACAACATACTCTCTCTCTCTCTCTCTACACATAGGGATCTTCTGCTCTCTACATCTCTCTCTCTCTCTCACACATTCTCCATCTCTCTCACACACATTATCTTCTCCAACAATCGCTCCACACCACATTACTGTTCCTCTCTTCATCTCTCAACACCATTCTCTCTCTTTTCTCTCACACATATCTCTCTCACTCTCTCACACATATCTCTCTACTCCTCTCTCTTCTCATCTCGTCCCTCTACTCTACTCTCTTCCATCTCTTCTCTCTCTCTCATAGCTCTCTCTTCTCTCTCTACTCCATCTCTCTCGTCATACTACTTTCCCACATATCTCCTCTATCTTCTCACAATCATTAGTCCATCCTCTCTACATCATTCTTCTCTGCTCTTCTGTCTCTCATCACTCCTCTCTCTCTTCTCCCTCTCTAACTCTCTCCTCCTCTACTCCTCTCATCTCTCTCTCTCTTTTCTCCTCTCTCACATTCTCGTCATCTCTCTCGCACAACTCTCTCTTCTCTCTCTCTCACCATACTCTCTCTACGCTCTCTTCTCACTATCTACTCTCTACTCTCTCCTCCCACACACGACTCTCATCTCATACATCGTCTCTCATCATTCCTCGTCTACTCTCTCTACTCTCTCTTACACATTCTCTACTCTACTCTCTCCACAATTCTCTCGTCTCGAATCTCTTCGCCTCATCTACTCCTCATGCTCTCTCTCGTCTCTCTCTCTCTCTCTCTCTCTCTCTACTCTCTCTACTCTCCTCTCTCTCCCCTGCCGTCTCGTGCTCTCACATCTTGCACCGATAATTATCATACTCTTTCAAAGATATAAATCTTCATCCCTACTGATATATACTTACTCCACTTCTTTCTATCAGTTAACTATAACTCTTCTTCCTGCTTGCTTCTTCTCTTTCTAGTCTCTTCCTATCTCAATCCCTCCTTTCTCTATGAATACACCCGTTCGTTCTTTCTTTCAAACTACGTGCTCTTACTGCTTCTCTTAACTCTTCTACTTCTCTTCTCTTTACTCGTCTAATAAAGACTCTCTAACTACTTCCCATCGTTCTCATCTCTTTCTCTTCTAACATTCTCTTCTCTTTGCCCTGCAAGCTGTTTCATCTGAAGCTAATCTTCCTCTCTAAACTTCAATCTACCACTACTTCTACCTAGCTTACTCTGTTCCTTCTCTCACTTACTTTAACTCCTTCTATCTACTTCTCTACACCGTACTCTCTTCTTCTCTCCTTCATTCTCCTACAAACAATATGCTTTCTCATAGCCCCTCATCTACTCACATATCCATACCTCTCTTCTCCTTCTCGCTTCTTCTTCTCTCCTTCTCCTTCTCTAAAACTGACTCAATTAAATCATCCCACCCCTCTCTCACATGTGTCTCCTATTCTAACTCTCCTGTACTTCCTCCTCTCAACTCTCTAAACACCATAACCTGACAAACTACACACTCTATCTACTATAATAGCTCTATTACAATCCACAGACATCTACCATCTAATGAAAACATGTATCACATATAACTCTCATCCGATTCTCAGATCGATCTTCTCATCTGCTCATCGTCTCTATCATCAATTCTCTAATGATTACTAATACTTACAATTACTATTCCAGCCAATCTCTGCAACCTCAAGTCCTCTCATACTCTCTACCTCATCCTACGTCTCTCTCCGAATAATATTTCTTTGACAGATCTTAACTAAGAATATCCATCCTCTGCCTCTCAGATCATTCTCGAGCTAAATTCTTCTTCAAATATCTCTAGCATCTTCACCTAATATAATAATCCTCTATCTCACTCTCCATACTCTCATCTCTACATACATACCCTCCTCGGTACCTGATAAACTCACCTCCTAACTATATTCATGCATTCTCAATCAATCTCTCTCTCTCCCCTCTTCATGAGCGCTCCTGACACTACCTACTACTCTCTCTAATTTCTAACTTACAAACAATAGTTAATCGTCACCTCGATTTATATCATCTTACAATCTCTCTCCTCTCCACTGCATCCTCTCTCTGCTAGCATTCTCCGCCGTCCTCACTGACTCGTAAATCCTCATACTTCAGATCTCTACATAGCATCTCGCTCTCATCTCTCTCGATTCATTCTCTCCTCACATCTCTCGTTCATACTCCATACTGCACAAATCGATATCTCATCATCAATACTCACATCTCTTCATCAATCCACTACCTAATCGCGGTCCTAAACAGTCAGCTCATTCA